ATGAAACTTTGAGTACAGTCCTGATAGAGGCCGAAAGGATACTCAACAACCGACCGCTTGTACCCGTCATCAGCGATGACCTGCAAGGACTGGCACTAACTTCTTCTGACCTTCCCCTGACCTTCTGCTCTTGTGGTCCAATGGTGGTCTAGATATGCCGAAAACTATTAGTGTCTACTATACCTCGGGTTGGAAACATGCGAACTATCTGGCAGGGGACCCAGGCGGACTAGCAGGAACAGTGAAATTGAAAACATCTGCCGGTGAACAGGTGCGCGATATTCGACGAGTGTGTATATTGGAGGGAGTTGACGACCATGCCGTTACTTGATGGAGTTGCGGAGACCCACCATGCAAGCATCCAGCTTCAAAGCTGCATTTGTGGAACAGAACTCATTCTGGTCCACACTTCTAGAAGTATTGTGACCTAATATCCACTAAGCAACATCTTTCTCAAACTCTTATTCCTCAATTCACTCCATCCTTCTCCTTGGCACATGCTAACTAGATAGCAGTGTTCACTTCCTTAAACCATTCTCATCATTACACGCATTCAGCTTCAAATCTGGATTTGTGGAACAGAACTAATTGTGGTACATAATCTTACAAGAACCGTGACTTAATATTCACTTAGCAACATGTTCCTTCATCTGTTTTACATTGGTTCGCTGTGTCATGATCTGTGACACTGCTAACCAGGTAGCAGTTTCCACTTGACTAACCCGTTCTAACAGACACATGCTGACCACGCTAAAGTGTTCACCTTCACACCCGATCTCCATTCAATGGCCAATTTACTGGCCAAGTTACAAAGCTGATCAGTGGAATGGGTAGCGTTCTGGTAAAAATCTACGCTACGTTTGTCACCCATAATACTGAACATCTGAGCTCTATCATCTATTCGCAATCCTTTTTATCCCACCCACTTCCGTGGCACAAGCTGACAAGGCAGCAGTGTTCACCTTTACACCCATTCTAAATCCAGTACACTGGTCAACCTACATAGCTGATCAGTGGAATAGATATTCTTCTGGTGAATAGGTTCGTTACATGCCCAATCTGTTTTTATGCCGTAGTGACAAATCGGATTTATTCACCTCGCCTTTGTTTCCATTGCATAGTCTGTCTAGTGGCAGTATCTGGCAATTGTTTTATAGATACCAGCTAGTAATCATATACTTAACTGTTCGGAACTTCTAGGATTAAATCGCGCGACAACTTGCATGCTTCCTTCCTTTCCACTCCCTCATCAACTAGGTATAAACCTAGACTGTTTTGCGTTTCCGTCTTCCTTTCCAGAGATCTGCTGCTGTCAGAAAAAGGGAGACTTCCATTAGATTGGCACGATATTCAATAGTGAATTATTCCGGAGTATAACTGAGAAACCAAAAGCAGGATACAATAAAATCTTCCAGCGACTGGGCTGCTTTCCCTACATGCACACTCGGAGTGACCCTATGCCCCGTGTTCTTGCATCAATGATAAAGGACCTGGCATGGTCTGATACCTCTCTTCCCAGCCTCTACTCGTATTACCCTCGTGCAAACTGTGATTCCACTCAGAAGTTAGTCGTCATGACAGGACTTTATTTAACCATTTTTTCCTGATCACAAACCTTCCAGGTCATACACAAAAAAGCTCTCAAAAACCTCCACCAATCCAGTTTCTATTTCTTTTCGCCTCCACGACACCAACGTTTGACTTTTCTTACCATCTCCGTTTTGTACAGTTCTCATCTCTCTTGCCTGTATATCACAATCCATTGACATGGAAACAAGTTTTCATTGCTTACAATTCCGCTTTTCTGATTTTTTCATATTCGCATCTTTTTACCTACAGATCAGTTATCCGTCATAAATGTACTACTTAGCTCACCCTCCTCTATATCAATTATCCGTAACAACTGCACGTTCATTGTCCAGTTTGTGGTTCTTCTTGTTTGTCGCGCGCAAGCATAGTCATTTCTCGTCCTTTCCTAAATCCCATTGAATGTTGCACCATTCCCATTAGCCCCACTTTCATCTATCATGACGGTTCCTGTTTTTTGTCTTACTCTGGATTCTTTTGTTGGAGCTTCCCGCCATGTTCGCCATTTGTCTCCGAGAATCTGTCCACTGTGAGTTCCATTCCGTCATACTTCCCTTGTGATCCTTAACTCTTTTTGGTCTTCTCCTGTGCTGACG